GGTTTACAGAGAGTCAGCATATTGCCCCCAACAATCTGGGTCCTCATAAGTTGTTTTTTTTCCCAGTGTCACTGTAACTTCAAACGGTCCCTAAAAAAATGTTTGAAAGTTGAGGGCTATCTGTACTCCTTTGTTTTTAAATACCCTGATTCCATATGAGAGATAAGAACATGCATTGCAATCTTTGACTAAAATCAACTGGACTAGAAAATTTAGCCTTGGCTGAATTTTTTTTAATGTTTTTATAAAAGGTAGTTAATCTATAAGGAAATGGATTTTACAGAACTTCCTTATAGAGTATAGCATATTACTGACATGAGATTAGCGTTATAAAAATAAAAAGAAGTCAGATGTAGGGAAAATAAGGAATCAATAAAAACATTCTTCACAAAACAGATAGTTAATTTATAAGAAATGCTAATATTGCATGCTCTATCACAGTGATGGCTAACCTTTTTCCCATTGCGTGCCAAAAGGCAGGCGTGCCCACACCCATAATTCTATGTGTGCGACCCCCACTCTAGAAGCCTGGGGAGGGTGAAAACAGCCTCCCCTGCCCCCCCCCCAGGCGGATTCTCTGGAGGACGAAAAATGGCCCTCCGCGCAACCGGGCAGTTCAAAAACGGACTTCTGGTTTGCCCTTATGGCCATTTTTGCCCTCCAGAGGGAGAAAAATGGTCCAACGCACAAACGGAAGTCTGTTCCCAGTCTTCCGGTTTACGCAATGGGTTGCCTTTCTCCCTCCAGAGGCTTCAGGGAAGCCTCCGGAGAGCGAAAAAAAGCCAAAAAATAAAGGCCAAAGTCAGCTGGCCAGTGCGTGCATGTGTACTGTAGCTGACAGGGCAATGCCTCACTTGCCCTAACAAATGGCTCCGTGTGCCATCTGTGGCAAGCGTTGCATAGGTTCACCATCACGGCTCTATCAGCAACCAATAATAAGTGACAAACATGAAAAGGACTATTGTCTTTATGTCTGTCTATGAGTCTCAAAAGGTGTGTGGGTGTGTATACACATAGACATATGTGTCTGTGTCTGTGTGTGTGTGTGTGTGT